ATCTCAGAACTGATGCCATAAAAAGCCCAGTGAAACAAGCACAGGTTGCAGCTTGCTTGTCCTAAGAGTTAGTAATGCAGAATTTGGAAATGCTTTGTACTTCCAGATATCAGACTACTGCTGCAGGTCTTACTGTGGATTTAAAGCTCTAACTTTGGGCATACAAGTCTGGACATGTGTGGAGATGCTAAAGCAATGGGACTATATCCTTCTGTGGGAAGGAAAAAGTAATTATGGTCAGGGTGGTTATTTGATCTTACTGTAGTTTTGCAGAAAGGATACGTCATCTTCAGGACCTAGCTGAAAATTTATGTGGTTGCATAATTGAATGTTAAAGCCTCCAGTACTTACCCTGTTCATTCCCTTGGTGGTTGTATTTTAATGCTCCTAACATAAAATAGCCCCATAACGAACGAATATAATTTTCAAATGAGAAGGTTGAGATATTGAACCAGTGCCTGTTACTTCATTGTCTTTTCATATAAGGTTTCCTGCTCTGATAAAATATTGAACCGTTTGTAAGTGAGCACAGCTTTTTAGCTCTTTTATGCTGCTGTGAATCTGTGAAGTGAGTGGAGTTGCTACCCAAGGATGCCGTACTTCTTGGAGAGCTAGATGTGAGAAACTGTGTCAGGTTACCTGAAACTTGAATGCTCAAGTAATTCACAGTATAATCTTGTTAAGCTGCAGTTATTGTATCTGATGCCTTATAGTTGGCATGAAAAAAATAGAAGTCTCTTCCAACATCTTGGCAGGTTCATTAGATTAGCTTATTATTCAGATTTAACATAATTTTTATAAAATACTTTGTTACATATTTACTGATTTGTTCATTAATACGCTGCAATAGTACTGTGATGAATCAATTCAGCTAATCTTATTTGCCAAAATGAATTAATGAGGTATATCTGTTAAAGCTATATTTTTGAAGGTTTTATATTCTATTTACTTTCTTAGGAAAATGTTTTGTTTAATAAGTCTGCAGGCTCTTTTTGCGTAATTAGCTCAAAATAGATGTGGAAGGAAATTTTCTTTCAGATATACTCCATTGTTTCAAAATGGAGTATATCTGAAAGAAAATTTAAATGGACTTCAGTATAGCAAAGGAAAATTATTTTATGTCTTTCAGAAGGGTATGTTAGGTGTTTTTTCATTAGTTTCACACCAATCTTTATGCATTAGTGCAATGGAAACATGTCATATACTCAACCTTTGGATCAAGTGTCAGTGATTCCTTTTCAAGTTCCAGCATCAGGTTGGCTTCACTATTTAACAAAACTGCTTGGTAAAACCTGTACAAATGTTGGCTGGTAGAAGCAAGCTGTCCTGGCCTGTTTAGTGCCACAGGAAGAGCAGCAGACAGGGATAAAGAAAATTGCTCCTTCTTACAAGATCTTGTATCAGCAAGGCAAGTTAACATAACCATGTCATTTATCTGTGTCATTTTCTGTTATGTGCTACTTAATAATGTGTCTTTGACCAACCTTTCAATACCTTGTCCTCACAATACAATTTAGTCTTCTGTGCAATTTATTTGCTGTTACCAAAAGTCAGTATTATATTACTGAAGCATACCCATGCTGGAGAATGAAGGTAGTAAAATATGGACTGTGATTTATAGTCATTATAAGTTACATCCTTTTGTTTAAGGAGCAATGGTAGTAATCGGAAGGAATGGAAATGGAATTACAGTGTGTTATGGTTCAGTGATGTAATATGCTTATATGCTTTTTACCTTGGAGCATCAGAGGATTAGTAGTTATATACCTACCACTTAAAAGCAGGAAAAAAAGATGTATCTAGCTTATAGGGTGTCCTTGGTTCAGTCGTAATGGTTATTTTTCTCCTTCTCAGTAGCTGGTGCAGTGCTGTGTTTTGGCTTTTGTCTGAGGACAGTGCTGATAATACACTGATGTTTTTAGTTGTTGCTAAGTAATGTTTACTCTGATCAAGGACTTTTCAGTCTCTCATGTTCTGCCAGTGGGGAGGAGCATGAGAAGCTGGGAGGAAGCAGAGACAGGACACCTAACCCAAAGTAGCCAAAGGGGTATTCCATACCACAGCACATCATGCCCAGTATATAGACTGGGGGGAGTTACCCAGAAGGCCCAGATAACTGCTTAATTAGTTTAGGTTGGGTTGGGTATCAGTCAGCAGGCGGTGAGCAATTGTATTGTGAGCCACTTGTATTTATTGTTGGGTTGTTTTTCCCCCTTCCCTTTTTAGTTTCATATTGTCTGCCCTTGTTATTTCCCTTATCATTAGTATTGGTAGTAGTACCAGCAGTTTTATATTATACTTTAGTTATTGGGCAGCTCTTATGTTAACCCGTGGGGTTTACATTCTTTTGATTCTCCTCCTCATCCTGCTGGGACCAGAGAGAAGAAGGGAGGTAGTGAGCAAGCAGCTGCATGATTCTGAGTTGCTGGCTTGGGCTTACAGCACAACATAGTGGTATGTGCGATTTTCTCAAATTTTTTTTTTTAGGGAAAAATCCCTGAAGTGACTGAAAATAACAGCTCCTCACAGTATGTGCTGTGGCTTACGCAAGTGTTTAATATTATGTTCCACTATATTTGTGTAGAGTTTGGAGGTGGTTGTGAAGCAGTCTTGAGTCCTACTGATTTAAATTTCTAATTTGAATTCAGAATGTAATAATTGCTTTTTACTCCGTTCTGCAATTTTGGCTAAAAAATCTTATTTAAGATTCAGTTATCACTAGAAATGTGTCTATTTTTTATTTATTTGGTACTGCATTATAATTTGCTGAAAGCAGTTTAGGCAGCAGTCACACTGTTCAGAAAGTACAAAAGAGGAATGACAGGAGGCTTTTGTTTTGTCAATTATTCTTAGGCAAACAGGGGTAATAGATTTATCTGTTGTCACAGGGTTGTTCCTTTCTACCTGACAGTTGGTTTTTCATTTACTTATTTATTTATCCATAGGTGTAGAAATTTATTAATTTCTTCTATCTTAACTTGGTGTCTTCTTCATAGTTGCATGGCACCTTACACAATTAGCTTGAGGGGTGAAAAGAATTATGTAAGTCAGCAGTTTTTCAAACTCTTGACATTTCATAAACAAGTGTTTTATGAATGTTAATCTCTATATAAAGTCAGTGCCTTGGAATCTTGGGTTGCAGAGAGCAATGTTTTTCAACATTGCACAGTCGTATTTTTTTCTTGCTGAAAAAGACATCTTTGCTATTTATTTGCTGGTTTTGTGGTGGCTGAAGGTTCATAAACTTCTTGTATGCTTTCCATTGCCACAGGTTAACATTACTTTTGGGAATAGAGGTTCCAATGTAGGGCAATAAATACTAGTATTTAATTATTTTTATCTAGTAAAAGATATATCCAGTCTCACTATAATATTCATAAATGTATTAAAGATCAGACTTTTCTTCGGTTAAAGTTTTTCTACACTGTATCTCTTACTTGTATTTAGTACTATTACAAGAAAAAATGGAACAAAACCCTATCTATATTATCAAAACTGAAATATGCAGAATTTTTTCAGTTCTTACCATTTAAAAAGTTAACCCCTCCTAGTGATTGTTAATAGTCTGTCTTTATTTTTCACTTTGTCTACTCTTTCCTGCAGATCAAGTGCAATAGTTTGCTAGTTTAATTACTGCCTTTCCAAGAGTGTTCATAGGGTCTAAAGTATGTCATTTTCATTCAGAGAGAACCTTGATGGGAAAAGGATGAAAGTGTTTGCAAACTAGCAGTATGGGTGTATTTGTGCTCCCTTAAATTCTGCAGTTATTATGAAAGAATGGCAGCTGAGAAGGCAGAAAATTCAGGATCCGAAGATCCTTTTCAAAAAATCATTACTCAAACACAGGTGAAGTAGACATATAGCCAATGGGGTATTTAAGGATGATAAAGTACAACAGCAATTGCTGCTGTTCTGGTTCTCCTGGATGATTACAGTTTTCTTCCCTCCCCCCCCCCCCCCCCAACAGTCTCAATAGCCTGTTTCCCTGGATTAGCAGTGATTTTCTAATTAAATGGAATTTCAAAGACAAATGCCACCTTCTTGATGCCAAAACTTGTCACAGAAAGGATTGCTTACCCTGGATCTCCCACTTGACAAAGCAGAGAGAAAGGTTAGCTGCTGTAAGCACTCTTTTGGCTCGGTAAACAGCAGAGTGTCCTGACTCTCACTGGCTTTGCAAATGTTAAGGTTTTTCAGCACCTATAAAATTTACTTTGATGTCTCAGATTTAAGCTACCATTCAGCAGTGGCAGTATGTTACAGTCTTGTTATCACTCTGTGGCTACTGTTATTGGACTTTGATCCATTGCCGTCTTTGTGAAAGTGCCAGTCCTACAGGTATTTGACTAGCCTAATTTATTCATTCCACACAGCTAGCCTAAAGTCATCTTGTGCACCTCAAAATAGTTTCCCAGTCACTCTTCTCCAATCTTTCTTAATGTACAGTGGTGAATCAGGGGTGTTTCTCAAAGCATGTTCATTAACCTCCCACCTCTCCCCTTCCCCTTTATTTGGAAGAAAATCAGCTTTCTCACTAATAGTTTAGGATCAGCGTGCTGTGTTCCACTGTGCTGGCATTCTCCAAAATCTTCTAGATCTTCTAGAAATCATCAGGAATGTGACTCAATATTTCTTGTTGAGCTTAGAACACAAAAGCAGCCCAGAAAAAAAAAAAAAATTTCTAGGGAACCTGTAGTATCTTCAGCAGACATTTTGTAGACTTGAGAATCTTCAGCTTCTCAAACAAGTTACAGAGGACCCTCACTGCTTGGACCTATGAACTCAAATGCATTTGGTCTTTCCTACTTCTTTGATCTCTGTTCCACCCATTTCATGTGCCTTGTCCATGATAATTTTTGTTTTGCTTTTAGTGGTCTGTTGAAGAGTGAGCAAGCTGAGACCCTCATGGAACATGTCCCCTATGTTTAGGTCTCTTTGCTAGTAACATGAGTGTCTAATTTCAATTGTTTTTAATGACTGGGAGTTTCTTTTGATACCAGGTGATGCAGATGTATCTCCCTTTCTGTGGGATTGCCATATCCAATGCCCAGCTATTTGCAGCATCAAGGAAGGAATATGACAGAAGCAGGGTAAGTAAAAAATGTATAATGGATCAGTATCAAACTCCTGTCTTTTGTTCCTTCAGATTCCAGCTATGCATTGGGTGTTTGCTAAGCAGACACTTTAACTATGTTTTATTTAAAAGAAAAAGGATTTTCAACAGATCACTGTCTTCACTGAGGTAGCAAACACAGAGTGTGGGAGGGAAATACGCTCATGGTTGTGTCTGTTGTTTCTTGATGTCAGATCCATGCTTTGTAGTGCTGAAACAATTGCATTTGTGATACAGACAGTGCAGGAGAGAGCACTGCTTTGGCAGACATTCAAGCTCTCATAGAATTCCAGAAATATCAAACCTTTGCCATCCTGAATTTGTAACATTCAATTCATGTGCAAATAATGTGACTGTATCTTTATAAAAGTAAGCAAGAAAAAACCCTGTATGTGAAGGGTTTTGACAGGGTGTGTCTGCTTAGGTACATTACTCACATTACTCATGATTGCTGATGCCATGCATGAGTTGGTATAGGAGTCTCCGAAGGAGTGAAAATAATGCTGAGCTCACATGTCATTTACTTCTCAGAAAAGTCTTTATTTTTTTTTTTTTTAGAAATAAAACTGTAATTTTGAGGGATTTTTTTATAGTTGTTGGCTTTTTGCCCCTTGTTTTTTTAATCACCTTTCCTGCAATGGCAGGAAATGGTACTTTTGCTATCATGGATCACAGCTCCAAAGCTTCAGTAGAAATACCACCAGTAGTGTTGAACCTACTCTTGCTTCAGTGAGCAGGAGAAACTACAGCAGGGTGAGTCTGTACATTGAACATTGATATTTATATAGTCAGGATATTGGTGCTTTCCATGCATGGAAACTAATGCTTTCCACTACTTTGAAAACTAGCAATAGCCCTTTCTAATGGTGTATATACTTAAGCGTCATGGAGTATCTGAGCTTGTCTTCCATCTAGGTCTGACTGCAGACCACTATGTTTTAGGAGGGAGATGTGGAGGAGAAATGGGGTGAAAAGAAAAGATTTTCTTCTGAAGGCGTTTTTCTTTGATGTTCAAACAAAATACTTGTTTGACTACATAGAGACTTAAAATTTGCTGCAGATTCCCAGACTGCAGGGAGCAATGACAGACTTTTTGAGGAGTCAGCGTTTAATCTTCAGAGTGGCCATAGTATTAGGGATATTCTCGTTATTCATTCGAAAATGGTAAATTCTGGTGGTTGGACACATCAGGAAATTGGATTAGGAATAAACTTTGTTTCTTGTTGCTGCTGCCATGTGAGGCATAACAAATATCTTTGTGTTTGACCACTGCATGGTAACGTGTACTTAATTGCATTTCTCACCTGCTGGTTGTCTTTAGCTTTGATAAAATTAGTTGGCAGGTAACATGCTATGGACAAGCTCATATTTGCCTTCCCTTTCAAACTGGATACCGGTGGTGGCAACTTCCAGTGACTGTGACCCACATTTTGTTGATAACCATTGTGTTAGGAGAGCTAAGACCACTAACGTTTATATACTTACCTATATGGATGTTCTTTAGTGTTGGCCTCTTAAACCAGAATAAAGAATAAAGCACACTTCTCTGGACCCATGGTAAGAAAGAACATGGCCTATTATTTTTAAAGCAGATTAAGTGAGAGGGGAAGCCCTTTGTTTTAAAACATATTTTACAGACGTTGTTAGTGGTAAAGATTGGATCAGAGTGCTACTGGAATATGGAAGTATTGATGTCTTTCTTTCCAGCTTTGAGCATGCAAAATGGGCCATAAATTAATAAAATCTAGTTTAAATGCATCAGCAAATTCAACACAGAAAATCAAGTAACTCAATCCATACTGTGTACTTAGAGAGTTGGATTACAGCCATTGATTATTTTTTGGACTACAGTGAAATAGTTTGAAAGATTCCCATTGTTTGCTAGGAGTTAATTTATACCCAGTTATGGCTAAGAAACACTTCCTTCTTTCTTCAGATACCCCCACCCTAATTCTGTTGCCATAATAATGAAGAATTTTATTTGAATAAAGTTTCTGATGGCTCATATTAAAATCAGTCCCAGGGATTATGCTTCCTTTGCAATGTTCCATGTATTATTAAGTCTACGACCAATACAAGATTTTTCTGTCTTTGTATGCAGGCTTTACTAGAAGTCGTGAATGACCTCTTTGAGGAACAGACTGACTTGGAGAAAATTGTCAAGAAAATCATGCATCGGGCCCAGACTCTTCTGAAGTGTGAACGATGCTCAGTATTGCTATTGGAAGATATCGAATCACCAGTAAGTATGGCTACACATTGTGCAGCAAGGCACAATGAATGGTGGATCAGCTGCTTCTAAGTCATAAAGCTGTTTCATATGTAGAGTAATGGCAAGTATTCTTCTAGCACATCATTCTTAAATGTAAGGTAAGTACAGGTTGAATCTTTATCAGCAGCTCTGTTTTGGTTTAACTCCAGTAGGCACAACCTTTGGCATTACTGAAGTATGGTAGGGTTTTCTTGCAATTGCTCTGACCACTTAACCAAGGAAAAATTCTTTTATTGAAGAGCTCTGTTATGTTGAACAGATGTTATGTAGGATATATGAAGAGCTGTGCTTCACACATCGTTTTGACATGGGTTTTCACTGGGAATTTGTAATACTGCCATTTGTATGGTACAAGAGCCTCTTTATAAATGCTTAACATTTTTTGAGTATTGTTATTAGTAGTAAAAGAAGTGACTGCCTTTATATTGGTAGTTCCCTTCAGTGTTTTCAGGCAATTCAACATGAACTAGCCTCCTTTCTACTGATTTGAAAAGTTGTTGAAGGATAAAAATGTCGCTTGTAATATCAGTCTTTTTTCTATTCAAGTACCTTTGGATTCACTGACTCTGTAATTGATTATTTGTTGCTGGGCTGTGACATGTCTAAATGATTAGCAGAGGCAGGATCATGAGTCTGTGTGCATGATAGAAAAAAAACCCAACAACATTTTCTTTCCTGGAGGAACGACATGATTCTTATTTTATTTAAACTAATAGAAATTAAGTACTTTCAGTGGAGTATACCCTAAATTACATTAGCTTTCATAAAAACAAGATCAAGGGTAGTATTTTATTTATATGTTCTCTGTCAGAGAAATGTAATGTTTCTAGCTTATTTTCTCTTTCTAGACCTACACCCCCTCCTTCCCATTTTATAATTGCAATATACGGTTCTTCTACATTCTTACAAAATGCCACTAAGTTTGCCAGTATAAAATGATTTTCATTTTTCACAGAAAAGTACATTGTGTTAGTAGCAGGCTGCGGGTGGCATTGTTCACTTCATTTTTCTGCTCTTGGTACTGTTGCTGCCTTTGGGCACTGAGGGGGTTTTTTACCAAACCACAGCCAGTGAGTTCTCATTCCTCTAGACTGAATTCTGAAATGTGGATAGCCAGGGTATTCAGATAAGCCTGAACTTTTTCTAATCATTCATAAACCTTAGGTTGATTTGGAATAGGAGAATGGCATTTTGCCACCCACTCAGTCATTTTTTACAAGTGGAAAAACAGTTATTTTCCCGATTTCCCTGAATTTTGGAGGGTTAACCTATATATCAAAATAGATCTCCACAGAGTAACTCAACGTTAAGCCATGTCTAAAATACTGTAATTTTTACATCACATGGAAAGCTTTTGTAATACAGAACCAAAGTGGAAAAAAGCGGACCCACACTCGCATCCAAAACCATGACATGTTCTGTGTCACATTAGCCTGTCTTAAAATGTTTCATTTATGTTCTGTTGGCACATAAGTTCAAGGAAAATTGGTTGCAATTAGTAGACCAAGTGAGTGTTTCTGTTTACTTTCCTATGTTAAAGAAAGTAAAGGTTGAACAAAGCTCCATAATTCATGTTCCAAAGCCCTTTAAAGAGAAGCGTTATACTGTTGCAAAAAATGGTTTCATGAAGGAATCTAAAGATATACTACTTGATTAGATACTGTTAGCAAACTGTGCACAGTGTGTATTTTGAACATGAATTCTCCACTGGGAGAATGCAGATTGAATTTTTATTCTAAGACTACTGGCTAAAAATACAGTTTAAATATAAGAACCTTGCATTACTGTTTTCTTACATATTTATTAATCTTAATAACAATTTTAAGTTACTTTTTTTGTGACAGGTGGTGAAATTTACAAAATCCTTTGAGTTGTTATCTCCAAAATGCAATGCTGATGCTGACAACAGGTTAGTGCTCATGTCTTCTATGGTAATGGATTGTTTTATTTTTCACATAGTTTTAAATTTGCTTGATCATAGTTTTATTTTTTTATGGAACTTTGGATAGATTTGATTAAAGAAGGAGTGCCTACAGTTTTTACTCAAATAAGACTCCTGTTGCTTCAAATAGAGACTTACTTGAATAAATATGCATGGTTATATTTTTATATATATGTGAGTATATAGAAGTGTGCTAACATTGTATCAGGGTCTCAAAGAGGAAACCAGTAAGTTACCAATGATTTTTTTTTTTTTAATTTTTGAACTCATGGAGGACATATTAACTATGTTTTGCACAGTTAATACTGAAGTAAAAATTGGAAAATTATTTTAGATTGTTGGTCTCTTACAAAATGCCTCATTACAGTTGTGTTGAAAGGTTTAAAGTAAAATTTTATTTCTGCTCTTGCTGTCAAGTTGGAAATCCTAAAAACCTCAGGGAATGTGTATTTCCCAGAAATTATGATGTTCTGACTAAATCTTCTTTGGGAGCCCAGTCAAAATAGAAGTAAATATTTTGTTAGTAATATCTGTATTTAAACATTGATAAAGGGATAATACTAAGTAGTAGTAGGAAGAACTTTTTGTTTATGTGGGGTTGCTGTATTAAGTCCTACAAGGTAATACAACTGGTAACAGTTCACATAAAATGTCCAACATACTAAACAAGTGGACGAACATTCAGTGCTACTGTGAGAAGGTTCCTCCCATCTTTTGGGGCCCAAACTCAGTGATTAGCATGCATGTTTTATGCAAATCAATACTGATTCTGAATTAGAATTTTCTGTTTCAAAAGGCTGCCATAATGAATAACCTGGCCTTCCATTCAACTTGCTATCTGTATCATAGCAAACTTGAAGATTATTTTGTGCTTTGCCATATTTAAGCCCTTTAAGCACCTTCTAAAAATATTTGGGGTAATTTGCCTTCTTTTGTGCTATATTTCTCCATGTCCAGCGTAATAAGAAGCTACCACTTCATTAAGGTTAATGTGCACATTGACTGGTCATAATTCTTAATGCTTTTCATGGATTGATCTTGCAGCACTACAAAAATGGACGGCATGATTTTTAAGGTGGGCAAGCTGACAGCAGTGTTCAGGGCCCTACAGAAAGATGGGTAGAATCTAGGTCTCTTCTCTGCCCTATGCATTAATTGAGAGATGGGAATGGTGAGAAAAATGGAAAAGGAAAACAAATGATAAAAATTAGGAAAGTTTAAATATGAATAAATATTATTGGGAATAACAAGTTGCTGCTTTTGACAAAGAACTTCAGAGTAGCAGTTGGTCTTTCCTAGGTCAATTAAATGGGTGAAAATACATTCCTTTTGTTCAGGACAGGAGTATGAATCAAGGGATGTGGTGGCTGTTCCTGTTTTTCTGAAACTTGATCTGTAGCCAGATTAGTCAAAACAATGTGGAGTGGTGTCAAGATAACCAAGCTGGCTCATTTCTTGTTACCATAGTTATATTAGCATGTTACCAAAAAGCAATTTGTAGTAGTCTGCTCTGCATGTAGTCAAGATTATTTTAACTTTATTCTGAGACATGAATAAATACATGTAATCTGGTAGCTAGTCTTCATAAGGTTTATAAACGTATATTTCTGTGCCTCTCAATATATTTATTGCTTTTTCTTTCATTTTTCATCCAGTCAAGAATGAAGTGGGTTTTACAAAGACCAAGGTTAGACTGACAGATATGATGTCACATTCGGATCTAGCACAGGCACAGATCGAGTTATTTTCACTACAGTGGGAAAATAAAGGTTATTTAGGATATAGAACAATGCCGCGAGCCCTTGACATTTGAGCACTTTTCTAGGGAGTTTTGCCCTTTTCATTCTGCATTCTATAGCCACAAATGATGTAAAGTCATGAGACATTTCATGTGGCAAAAAATAACAAGATGAGTTTTTTCAGCATTACACCAGTGAAGATAAATATTATTTCTTTGAAATTTTAGTGGAAATTTAAAGAGATTATAGGCATAGTTCTAGTTACAAGTTTTATCTGAAAGAGATATTGTCCAAGGACAATATAACTTTTAATGTCCCAAAATATTTTCTTATACAGTTTTAGAAGAAATAGGCTTTTCTTCTGCCCTTCCTCCATCTAGCTAATAGCAGCTCAAATGTTTAGTCCCTAAATAATACAATGAATACTCATATCTTTTTTTCTTTGCTGTTGGTTGTAAAGAAATACCTTGCAAAACCACATTGGCATTTATCTGTTCAATTTGCAATTTTCCAGCACACACCATGATCAAGTTTGTTTATCATCCATTATGGCACACTGATGCTCTTGTTTTTGCCATTTAGTTCTTGAAGTAGAGGTTTGCCAAGTCTCCTAAATTTTCTTTCCCTTTTAAGATTATACAAACGTTAGAAGCCTTGAGAGTTCAGTTCTGATGTATTCTAGATGAGTATGAACTCAAGGGAGGGTGCTGTGGGCTATGTCTTTCCTGCACAGAAGTCATTTTGGCAGTTGATGTAGCTGAGATTACAGCTGTCTAACCTCGGTAGCACTGGTTATGGTCATGAGCCAGAATGTGGGTTGTGTGGGAGAAAATATCTCTGTCAGTTGGCTTAGGACAGAGAAAGTGTTGAAATCTCTGCTACTACTGTTTCACCACCAGACTCTGGGATTATGTATGCTCAGTATTGCCCCATTTCCTGCAGTATTTTTATGCTTTGTAAGGCACCTTTGTGATCTTCTAGTCCTAGGAGGTGGAAAGGTTCATGTCACTGCTTAGAGAGGATTGAAGGTACCCATGACTTTGGCTGTACCACTTCCCTACTGTACTTTCTGCCATCTGTGCCAGGGATACTCGGGGAGACAGCAAGGCAAGCAGCTGTATAAAGGACCCTGCAGCACTGCGCAGTGCCCTTGAGCAGCAGAGTTCGCTCTCCTGCATGGTATGTGTTGCTCCTGCTAGGGTGTGGGAGATGGTGGCATGAAGCTGCCTGCATCAGTCCAGCAGGATTCGCGGCTTTCCACAGTTTGGAGAAAATTGTTGCTTTGGTGTGTTCTGCGCTGCTAAGGATGGAGAGAGCACCAGCTGGCTGTGATTTGCATCAAAATTAATCATTGATTTTTCTTCCTAGTGAAAGCTGAGTGCCTCTCTTCCAGAGTGTAGTTGTAAAGCCCTTGTTAGGAATGGAGACAACGTAGTAGAACACACTTTCAAAACTTCTTCCTGAATGATGTCTTCTTTCTTTTACTTGAATTTATTTGCTGCATAAAGTGCTTGGCACCCATAATGCAGTTCCAATTTAAAGTGTCTTATATAATAATAATATCCCCCAGATTTTTAAAGTATGAACTGGGAGCTGCGCATTTGAAATTAGATCCTTATCTGTCAAGATTTTTTTTATTTCTCAAGTATTGGTCTCCTGAGAAATTTTAAATTATAAAACTGAATTTTTTACTTAGCTCAGAAAACAGTATATTTATGTAAAGATTCTTGTCAAAGTATACATATAAGATGTATTGCAGTCACTCAAAATGTTTAGCGCAAATGAAAGTTGCTAACACTTAGATTTATTTGTGTAAATCATTATTAGTATATTTATTTATAGTCTTTTTGAGTTTTCTTTCAAATGAGCAACTTAGTTGAATTAGTCTCCAGAAAATCAGTGCAGCCAGTAAAAATCAATCCTTTCACTTTGATTGAGCCTTTCAAGCATTGTACTATGCATCCTTCTTTCATTCATGGGCATTACTTTGAAGCTTCAAACTATTCTAGTCTTCTTCATGTCTGCTCAGACTCACTTTTTTTCTAAGCAACGTTGAAAATTTCTTCTTAAACTAAGACAACACGCATTCGTTTATTCGTGCATGAATAGCTACACCTAGACAATGTCAAAAACCTGTCTGCAATAAGTCTGTGAGAATTTCCTTGATGATTGGATGAGGCTTAAAGTGAGGACTTTAATGCCTGTGTGGTTTCCTGCAGAAGCAGCAGTGGAGTGTGGTGAGTTGAGCCCATAATTCTAGAGTCTTATGCTCATTTACTGACATCTGTCTAGCCCCTCGGTAGATGTGTCAGTAGCTCAGCCAGGGAAAAAAAAGAAAGAAAAACGTCATGTACTGTGTATCTACTTGGATCCACCTGCTGCAGCACACTTACATTATTGATTTTTAAGACTTATTCGATGATCCCTTCTTCAGCCATTCAGGTCTGGCATTTCAGACCATGATCTAAAAAAATAGCATTTCCCTTGACAGGATAGCCATTGGACGTGTGAATTAAAAGTACCACAAACTATTAGACTAATTTGAAAAAATAAATTCCCAAGATTATATACTTTCAGGTAGCACTACAGAAAATATTATTTAGAACTGGTTGCTTTTTGTGAGCAGGCCTGTATCCCACAGAAGCTTGGAACATAATCCCACTCTTTGATTCACATGTAAATGCATTTCTTCATTAAAGATTGTATTTACTTTATTTGTGAGACCAATGATATTTTAACCATAAAGAATTGTGTTGAGATTTTTTGATGTACCATTTCAATAAATACTAAATTATTGCTCCACAGATAATGTTTGTTAACCATTAATAACTGTGAATGGTTCTGTTCTTCCTATGAATATGCCTATAAGACATGCTGGACTTCCAAACAACACTGACTGTATTCTTGTCTTACCTTGCCATGCCTTTTGATAGTTTCAAGGACAACGTGGAGAAATCATCGTCTTATTCTGACTGGCTAATAAATAATAGCATTGCTGAACTCGTAGCGTCCACAGGTCTCCCTGTGAACATCAGTGATGCCTATCAGGATCCTCGCTTTGATGCTGAAGTAAGAGATTTTTAGAAATCCAAATATACATCGTATTTTTAGCATTGCAACTAATATAACACCATTTTACTGTTATAGCCAAATGCCTGTGAAGTGTGAATATTTATTTTGAATTATTTGTCCAGTATGTCCTCCTGGTCTGCTGATGTTGACATGGCTATAAACAGGCCACTGAACTAGTGTATGACTTTATGCAGTTACTTAATCTGTCCAGGATTCACTTCTTTCCCTATTTATAAATGATACCTTCCTCTAACAAATGATTTGATATTCATGCAAACTGATTTTTATTGCTGAATATTCAGCTGCTGGTGTTCAGCATAAGCAGCACCATCATTGTTAGTTGTTGGGGTGACTGGAACTGTACACATACAGAGAGTAAACAGAAACGGTATCTAGAGGAACAAATGTTTGTGATTTAATTTGGCCAACTAACCTTTTAATTTGCACAAATAAAATATGCACTCTGGATTAGTTATTTCTCCAAGATGCATACCACTCCTAATAAAAGTTGTGTTTGTATCCTAAGGTTTTCATTCCAGCCTCAGTTAGGAAGGTGTAGGTACATTTAAAAGGATATATGTATACTTAACACCTAAATGAATGTCAGAGACATATGGAAGGACAAAATCTTCACTGAATTCTATCCAGTGAAATAGTATTCCTATGGGGGACTTGGCCAGCCGTTGGGCAGCACATTAATCAGTGGAGAGCCTTGGTCAGCAAGTTTGCTAAATCATATTACTCAATAAGTGCGCTTGGATGTGTTTCATATTGAGAGTTTGCTTGGGTCCGCTTTCATTCCATGTGTCATTAAAGGGTTTATCACTCAAACCAGCAGAATTTGTCAAAAGAAGAAAAACAGAGGCCTGCTGTAAAAGTGTACAAGAAAACTGTGTTGCTACTAATTTGCTTAGAATTTCAAAAAATACAATTAATGCCTGGGGTCTATTTCTTGCCAAAGAGATATGCTAAAGTAAAACACATCTGTTCCTGATACATGTGCGGTTGTATTTGTAATATATCATATCCTAATTAATTCAGCCATCTCTTATTTGCTTCACAGTCCTTTCTGAGTTAGAGGCACTGCCCAATTTATAAAGAGAAAAAGGAAAACAATACAAAGGGCAGTAATTCTTTTCTATTGGTGGGTTCCTATGAAAATTTAATTCTCAGAGTCAGTTGTGGCAATTATTTCTACAGCCAAGTGTAGTAAGAGAAACGTATTAACCCCTGTGACTTAAATAGGATCATATCTGTAGTTACTAACATACTGTTTTCTTATTCTGTTCTCTGCTTCTATAAAAAAGTCTCTTTTTTTCCCCAGAACACTAATTGTCATTTTCAAATGTTGATGCTCAGTTTTCAACTCATTCATCAATAAGTCAATGCTGAAGTATTTTCATTGAGTTCATATCTGAAGATATAAATTTGAGGCAATTTTTCTCTCATACCCATGGATTTTAGGCGGCACTCTGTGCTGATTTTAGTAATGAGTTCTGAGTATGTACAAATAAGCAGCACTCTAGTTAAAACCCGAGTTACATCTTTTTGCTAGCTGGGAGATCACAGTGATCCTATCCTGCCTCCAGTATATGAATTATTGCTGGTCTAGTACTTTTCTTCCATTATAGATTGCCTGTAGCACTGACAGTTTTAGTATGAGAACATATCCTGGTTTCCTATGAATGGGCTCCTACCACTCTCTAAGCTCTTCTGAAAAAGATGCATTATATTCTTCAAATTTTGCAGCAATGACTATAAAGAATAAAGCTGTAGAAAAAAAATCTGTGGCACGTGGAATAAATTTCTAAGTTTTATACTATATTAGGTAGAAAACAACAAATGAGGCAGAAAATACTTTTCAGAACTACAGGATCAATTAAACTTACATAGAAAATATCAAATCTTTGGTTTGACCCCATCCTTGCATAGCTTGCACTACTGCACAATTCACTACTTACTCTTGCTTTTCTTCTGAAAATGCATTTCTTGTAAACTGCTTCTTATAGCTAAATCCAATTTCATTTTGATGATTGGAAAGAGTATTTCTAAAGCTCAGTTATTCCATGGAGATTGTCACAACTCACCACTGTGAGTAATCCAGAAATTGACTGGACATTGCCTCAACTGTAGTTTGTCTTTAATTCCAAATCAGATTCAAATAGTGTAAGATTTCTGTGGCAAAGATGGCAATGTTTGTATTTTCTTTGGCAACTTTTAGAATAATCCTTATGTGTCTTGGTTAACCTAAATGTGAATGAGGTTTCAGCAGAATTTTTTTCTGGGTGAAGGCTGATCCATATTGGAAGGATATTTGTAAGTGTAAGCTTACTCCTTGACTTTTCTACTACTAGAATGTAAAAGGCTGCAGATGATACCTTCCCTAATGGGAGCTCTTGTTTCTGTGTTTCAGGCTGACCAGATTTCTGGGTTTCATATACGGTCTGTTCTGTGTGTTCCTATATGGAACAGCAGCCACCAAATAATTGGTAAGACATTCCTCACGGCACATCGTTTTTTGTGCAGATGTACATTTAATTCTGTCCTTTACTTTTATGTTCCTTTTTCTTCTTCTTCTTTCCAACCCCCCCCCCCCCCAAATATTGTTAAGAAGTTACAGTACCTAGGATGCATGCTAAGTATCCAGGAAGCGATGTTTTGATTAGGATGCCCTATGGACTTATTAAGCTTTCTCCCTGTGTCATTGCTCAGTTATATATTGTATTGAAACTTGAAGACTAATAAGATGAAACCAGAAATTGTAATATTAGTGAAAAACTTTTTTATATGCTTTGGTATTTCTCTGGGGTCTCCGTTTTTTTGTACTCAACTCAGACAACTGTTCCTACAGTCAGGTAAAGTGGACATTGCCCTCTTTAAAAATAAATGGCAGTCAAGGGAAGTCCTACCAGAGAGTGTGGCAGCTCAGAGCTGCCTGTGGCAGTGGTGTACGCTGGATCAGGACATGACAGAGTTTTATTGGTATGATGCTTCCCAGCTGTGATACACCTGAAGTTTTCCCTGCATTATTACCTGCTTTTGGCACAAGAAGGTTCGCCATTTGTAAACAACAGTGCCACATTCTTCAGTTAACTTTCCACAGTAGAATTCAAGTCAGAGCAATAGCAATTCAAACCGTCAGGGCAAGACTTACACCCCTGTGTATTGTGGCTGTCAGCAAGAGCTGATATCAGTAGTGCATTGCTGAAGGCACTCAGTGCCATGCAGGATCGGGATCTTTGAGCTTATTCAGCAAAGATGATGTAGGAATTGATTCTTTTGAGAATATGACTCATTGTTTGCTGTGAAGTATTACCTTAAAAAAGTAGAAAAAACCTGATCCCTTAACTGCTGATAGATCTTGCAGTATTTTTCTAAGGGCATAGTATAACTAAATGAAATAGAAATGTGGAATTTAATTTTAGTTCAGCTAGAGACAAGAGCTTTGGATGCTAAGTTTTAAGGATTTCTTTTTCTTTGGTTCAGTAAATTAATGGACCAGGTATGTGTTAAAAAAGGACTTCAATACACAGGTGATGCTAAACCAACTAAGATTTTAGGAATGAAAGTATTGATTCAGCAAATTATATTAGAAACTCGAAATTGCTAGGACAGCTTACATAATTGCTGTTAGCAACATGCTCAGGTTCTTTCCCGAAGAGATCATCAACATTTTGTGAAAAGTGTTGTAACTTCTGAATTTGAAATATTATACTTGGACAGTAAAGAATATCAGTTTAATAAACTGAGTCCTGGTATCAAAACAATCAGACTTTGACATGTTTATGTCTGTTTATTGATTTTGAGTATAAATACTTGCAGTGTTGCTTTTCAGTTTGAAAGATGCATTTTAAATGTTACCAATGAATAAAATATCCTGCATTGTGAATTAATGATTGAAGATTATAATTCATATGCATTCTTTCTAAAGGGGTAGCTCAAGTGTTGAACAGGCTTGATGGGAAACCCTTTGACGATGCTGACCAGCGACTGTTTGAAGTAAGAGGCATTCAATTTTGTTGCAATAACCTACTACTTTTCAGCAGAATTTGGTATTTCTAGGTAATGCTACTTCAGGCTACTCTAGGGAGGGGGGAAAGAATACGTTGTCTGCATTTGTGGTTTGACATTAATTCTCACAACTCCTCACTTAATAAGGTTACATCCTAATTAAAACAAGTTTCTTGCATCTGTTCTTTCTCATCTTGTTGAAGCCAGTGACTTACCTGAATTTTCAAGATAACCTAACCATGATTATTCCTAGTATTTCCACATGATTCCTTTTCATTATTAAGCCAACATTCATCTTTGTGTCTGTATTATAATTGAGTTATAATTGACTTTCTTTTATTTTTCTCTTTCTAATTTTAGGCTTTTGTTATTTTTTGTGGCCTGGGCATCAACAACACAATTATGTATGACCAAGTGAAGAAATCCTGGGCAAAACAGTCTGTGGCTCTTGACGTATGTGCACATCTTATTGAAACCTTTTCTTGCTCATAAGCATCACATGCAAAGGAACCTACTGCTTCTGAATTTATTGTAGTTAGCATCATTTTATATATATATCTCTCTGCATCTGAGTGTTATTAAGGTAATGCTGAAGGGAAATGTTCTCAGAGTATGCTTAGCTGTGGAACTCATGCACAGCTTGAGTAATTTTGAACATGGATTATTTCATTTGATTTTTACATTACAAGGGTGGGACAGTGATGATAGAGAAGCTAGTTTCTTATAGGAGTAAGTGTGGGAATGAATCCAAGCATTACATGTATTTTTTTGTCCATCTGTATCTGAAAATTCCTTCGAATTTGATATTTTAGGTAGCTTAGTGTTGTTTTTCTAATGCTGTAAAGTATAAGTAAAACACTCTGTGAAAGGACAAATTTGAAAATAGTGACTATTGTCATAGGGTTTCTTAGTATCAAAAGCAACATCTACTGAATCCTTATATGGATATATGTCTGACCAGAATAAAGTCCAAACAGGATGGCTGGAAGCTAAGCAAGAGCTCTGCTGTTGGCCAGGGCTAATACATAATGCAAAGTCCTGGCATTTTCCAACACATCACGTCTTTCCGGAAAATACTTCTAGAATAGCTAAATGGATGAGAAGCTTTCTCTTTTTTTTTTTTTACCTGTTGCCTTTGGTATGAATTTCTTTTCCTGTTTATGCCACCTGCTACCATTCATGAAAAATGGAAATCTGCCAGCTCCTATAGAACAAACTAAAATACAGAACATTTTTTAAGAAATATTATTTGATCTTCTATAAGCTGATTCAACAATAAAACACTATTCTTATCTACTATATTCTGTAGGCTTTAAGCATAATCATATTAAAAATAATCTTGGTGAGAACAAAGCATGGAGTTTTGAGGATAGCTTTACAAATCTACGTTAGTCCTGCTTAAACAGTAATTAAGAATGGTTTGAATGAAATTTAAGATCTTTTAGAAAAGCATTATGCAAAACTGATTAATCTTAAAAGATTCAAGACCAGGTTGGACGAGGCTTTGGGTGATATGGTTTAGTGTGAGGTGTCCCTGCCCATGGCAGGGGGGGTTGGAACATGATGATCTTGAGGTCCTTTCCAACCCTAACTGTTCTATGATTCTATGATTCCTCTGATGAATGGGTAATGTTGCTAAGATTTCAGTATTGTTTTATATTTTATATGTGATAAGAGAAGAAAATGATCCAGCTGCACCCTTTAACTGTAACTCCTTTGAATTTACACAGCACCCACCATTACAATGAAAATCGCAAAGCCAGCATTGGCCTGATTGAGATATGAATTTCTCGCTATTAAAACAAAAAGCAAACCAAACTGGATTGCTGTGAAGATGCTATAATTGTATAGTTTTATTTTGCTTTAGAGTTGGAGATATTTATCTATGTATTGGAGATCTACTCTGTAAAGCATATAGGCATGTTAAGGCTTTTTGAAGTCAATAGGACTGTTTGTGTTAGAAAACATCCTTGACTTTTTTTTATTACCCATGTATATGTATTCACTTAGGAAGAAATGTTAAAAACTTTCCTTTTTAGGACTTCTGCAAGATTCCTTATTCTTTACATACCATAGTAATGAAATACTAGAAGCCCTCATACGCACCAGATATTTGTGCAATATGACACCTTAGAATGAATATTCCTCCTGGCAAAAAAACAGGCAATGCCAGATATCGCACTCAGATACATAGTGATCAATGTTAACACAGAAATTTGTCATTTACTACTAAAATCAATGAAATACGATTTTCTTGTTTTAAAATACAGCTTGTTTCTTTGGTCAAGAAAAGACTCGTATATCTTGAATGTAGATTACAGGTTTGATATAGTCACTGTGCTTCAGTGAAGAGTAATTCTTTCTATAAATGAGCAACAACTTGTGATAATGTTTGTGTAAAGTGATTGAAGACAGAGCAAAGTACTGAACAAAAGAATGGTGTATGCTGAAGTACTGCAAAACCATTTTTCAGTAATAGAATAATAGTAGTTGTGTATTTAGGTAGGATGGCAATGAGTGGCATTTGAAATGACATTCATATTGGATGTAAAATAAATCAACTTGATATATACTGTAATAAGATTCTTATCCAGATATACAGGTACTCTTTTTCACAGAGAATTCTCAGAAGGTTGACTAATAAAGAGAAGATCAAAATGGAAATAAATGATCAGGGAAGGTTGAAAGTAGGATGCCATGTAGGCATGAAGTAGGATGGCTCAAAGCTAGGCTGAATAGTATTTTATATATTAAGGAGACAAAATTAATGAATGTTTAAAAGATTACAATAGTCAATATTAAGGAAGACTAGAGATCTAGAGGGATACAATGAATGCAGGTAAAGGAGAATCTTCACAAGAATTTTAGTATAAAATGTTATCTGTCATAGTAGAAAACATAATTTAACTAATCTTATAGATTTCTGAGAGAAGCTGCAATATGGTTGGACAGAAAAATAGATACTGTTAGAGGAAGGACATGATGTGGAGTTACAGAAAGTAAACCAAGGGACAAAACATGAATTGGTGTTTGTTATTGTTATTTATTCTTTCATAGTGCAGGAATGATTTCCTGTTACTGTAAAAGATGACACCTCTAAAATTGATATGAGTAAATATATCTTGGGACTTATTCCCACAAGGAAAGCCAAGGGCATTTGAAATAGGCTTAGGTATTTATACGAGTAACAGAGACATTCACAGATGAAAACAATTTCAAAATAAGAAATATATATCAAAGCTTTAGCACTAAGTAGATAGGATGTTTGTACGGTGAGGAGGACCTGTCCTTGCTAGGAGTGTTCTGGCTCTGTGAGCTCCCTCAAGGACAAGAGCCTCATCCCCCACACACAGTCAGACCTTGGTGGGTCCAGTTCACAGGATGGCTCTTGCACCTTTTGGGATGTTGTTCAATGTTATTATTGCCACATAGGGATATTATGTATTCCATGTAAATGTATGCATACATGCAGGTAATCAGAGGAGGTGTACAGTACTTTGTGCATTTTATTTGATGCTTTCATCTCCAAAATGGTACTGACAAGCATGTCGGGCATAACATAAAGGTGCTAATTTACATGCAGTGATGCGTCACTAGCAAAGGCATAAGGCTTTACAGTATTGAAAAAGGCATTATTTAAAGTCTGTAAATCTACTATTATTTTTACATCAAATTCTTTTTATTGTGGAACAGGAGAACAATGTAGGAATGCTTATAATATTAAATTGTTTACTGTCCATGATTCCCTATAAAATTCCCTGCAACATAAATGCCAAATGTATACCTGATAATCTGCAATTAGTTATTATATGCTGACATTCAGAACTGAATTACCATGCCCAAATATTAATTAAATTTGTTTTAAATATCCTTGATTAGACTGCAGTATGGAGCCCTATTATTTCTACTTATCAAGCTTATAAAAATTTGTTTTTATCTTTTGCTCTGGGGCAGGTGTTATCTTATCATGCAACATGTTCAAAGGCAGAAGTTGACAAATTTAAGGTAAGGATTTAAGTTTTTAGTTACTTCTGAAAATAAAACGGTAAAGTAAAATGGATGTAGATTATCTGAGAGAAAAGTTTTTGTCAAAAGCAGAGAATCATAACTAACTTTAATTTATAAAGGATGTATTATACATTAGGCTGTTAGGCAGGGAAGGTGGAAAAAGTCTTTCAAATGATAAAGAGCTGCAGTAATAGGTGCACAGCAGCAAAATACCATTGTTCCAGCACCAGCTGCTGGAACAGCACATCAGTGTGGGTTTGGTGCCCTCCTCAGCAGGACCTGCTACAGGGAAGTCATGGTGGGCGGTGAGGAAAAGACTAGAGAAAATGAGAAGAACATGCTTATAGTGTGGAAGCTGTCCTGTGTTTACTTAAAAAGCAGAGAATTCACTATTAAGATTGTGCATAGGCTTAGAAGGCTGAATGTGATGGTGAGAAATCCTCTTCTGACTTCTGTAAGCACAGGCAGAACTGTAAAGTGATGTGTGCATAATATAGCATTGCTGGGGACCAATAATGATGTGTTCACACTGAATCCTGCCTTCCCAAGGGGCAGAGAGTAGGAGGAGCAGTGACCTTGCCCTTTCACCTCTGCCAGCATTCCAGCACAGCCTTTGCTTGTCCTTTTCTGCTTGAGGAAAACTTGGTGTTGCTTTACTTGGCTATGAGGAGTAAGCGTTGAGAGCTCCTCATAACAGTTTTAGAAGCTTTTGTGGTGGGTATCAGGGTTGGTTTCTTTTATGCAAAGTACCTCAGAGACTGGGAAGGAGATCAGGGCTGTTGTGACCCCACACTGCTGGCATTCCCTGCTGTGGCTCCTTGTCACCTATCCGGCTAAAAAATAGCTGTTTGTTTATTTTGACACTTGGCTGGCTAGCTGCAACCTGATCTCCACACCATGCGGATGGTTGTGGTCCAATGGGAAAGCCTTGGGTGACTTAGCAGAGCTGATACTGTTGAGTTATGTGAGCCAAGGAAGGGCAGCTGTTACTAGTTAGTTATTAGTTGGTAGGTTATTGCCCAAACACTGGCTGTGCCTATCACCAGGTAGCAATGCAGAGTTCTAAGGGTGTAATATATTGTCTCCCTCCATTGTAGTCGTTGGTGCAGTTACTCACCCTTTTGTAAGATGAAGAGTAGGTACCTGAATTACTGCTGCAATCATACATCCTTGAAGATTATTCCAACACTGTAGCCAGCAGAAAATACTTCTGTGTGCTTAATAAGTTATATTTTATGTTGCGCAAACACCACTGAACACTGTGTGAGAGAAGGGGGAAAGAAAAGGATAAAGTGCCATATATAATTTTTTTTAAGGTTGGGGTTTGGTTTGGGTTGGGTTTGCTATTTTCTGGGTGGGTTTGGTGGTGTGTTATTGTTGCTTGGTTTGGTTTGCTGGTTTGATTGTTTGGGTTTTTTTTAGTTTACCTTAGAATAAGCACCTGTAATACAGCTTCTATGATTGTCAGGATTCAACCAATATTTTTCTACATACCAGAGGGCCATACTTCTTGGTTGCTTTCAATCATTGAAAGATAATTCTCCATCATGGTCTGTGGAGTTGAAATAAGAGCCTGCTATGTTACTCTTTGGACCTAGGTACTAGTGTGATGAGGAGCTATTCTACTTGTTTTCCCAGATGTTTCCATTAATAGATTTGTTGGTCTCCAAGTAGGGAATGTCTTCTTGTTATTCTGAAGGCTTGTAACTATCCCTTTAATGGTTAATGACAAGGTAAAAGGAAATGAAAAGCGTTTATTCATTAGTATCCCTGATAGATACAATTTTATACAGAAGATAAATGAGAAAATGAGGAATAAAACCAATCTGTGCTTAAACTAAGCTGAGAGACTTTTTAAAGAAAAATTTCCCCTTATTATCCAGTTGACTCTCTTTCAGTTCCTGACAAAATGACTGCCAGGTAGTCTGTGTTAGTGCTTTGCACAACTGGTTGTAAACAAAATAAACCCCAACAAAACCAGAGGGAGGACCAGTGTGTCTTGTGGGCCTTCGACAGAGAGCTCATCCCCAGAGAGGGCCATCCATCTGTGTGATAAAATTGCTTCTGTCTCACCCCTCTGGCAGCCAGTCTCCCTGCCGAGGTCTCCTGGGGCATCCTACCCTGAAATCACGGCTCTTTTCTCTGTTTGTTATATTGTTATATTTCGTATATATATTCGTATAACCCCTTTGTTATATTAGTGTCATCTTCTAGACTTGACTGGCTAATAAACAATTCCTCCCTCTGGGGGTGTTTGTGACTAAACCTGTCCCCTCTCCTTTTGGTAATTTATTGGCAGATGTCAGAGGAAATGTCTGTTACAATTTACCTGTTGTTCTGATTCAGTCAGAATAGTAACAGACTCACATGACAGAGACATCTAAATGAGAGTAATGCCAGTAGCTCACTACTGTCTCTTGACTGACACAGGACCTAATGGTAGTTAATGACTTTGGAGTGACAATACATTTGAGTTGATAACTTTTCAACATACTACCCCAAACATAGCGTTACTGGACCCCAGCAGCATGGGAATAATCACATATTCTTCCTTTTTTTTTTTTTTCCAAGTCATTTCCTTCTTTGTCATATTATGTCTTTAGAATATTAATATATTTCTTATCCATTCTTTTTTATTTTCCTAAGATATAAAGAGTATCCTAATGCAAAGTAAAAAATTGCAAGTGTACTTGAAGTTTACTTTTCCTCTGGCTCTTACCAGCAAATTGGTTTACTGCATTGCAGAAAGCATGGCATGACTATTTAAAGTTGATTTTTTTTACTTGAAATTTTCTCAGTAATTTCCTACTGTTATTGAGTGAGTTCACAAAAACACAAACTCAAAAATATACCTGGTATCTTTTTAAGAATTAACCATAATCACTGTGAGGAAAGCTCTGATAATCAATAATATTTATGTTCCTATTAATTCTGCTTAAGAATGTCTGAAATAAAAACCCTCACCTTAAGAAGAAACCCTTAAGAAATTAATACCTTTCTCCAGATGCTGGGACGGGAGAAAGTGCAGAGCACCAGTGGTTGTGGAGCTCAAAAAAAGGGAAGTTCACAGTATGGAGCAGTGAAACATGTGTGTATGATAATGAACCATGTCATGCAATTGGCCTATTCCCTCTCTGATTTCTACAACTGTCTAAAACCAAAGCAGCAACATAAATTCAAGTTGAACAGTGGTTTTGCACATTTTTGTAAGGGATCCCACTTCTGGTGGTACTAGGGTATAGCTTCCAGTAATAAAACTCTGAAAGCCAAATTTAAAACTACTTGTATGATTAGAAATTACTCTATTAGTGAATGATTGGAGTTTTTTTCACAGAAGAGAATCCAATTATGTGAATTACTGTAAAAGTTCATGTCGCCAGTCCTTTTCATTATTTGCATTAAAGCTTTTGGGATTCATTAACACAGGGTAGCAGGCACACATTTATCAGGAAGCCGGTGCCAGCGGAAACAACATGAGACTCCGACACAGGTGCTGCTCTGCTGATCTGGCTGGAGCCACCCATTTGGTTCACTGCCTGTGCTCAGGGGAAGTGGGAATGGAAAATTCATGCCCTTAACCCAGTAAGTTTGTTTTAGCGGTCAGAGAGGGGGCTTAGCCCTTGGGTTAGACACAAGGGGATCTGCAGAGATCTGGATTCAGAACTTTGTCTCTGTAGCTGATGATCTGGCCCCAGGAGGGTAATACGAAGTTTTTCATTGATTTCATCAGGATGGTGCTCTCTTTAGCTTTGGCATTTTGTAAAATTGCATAGTAATGATCCCTCTGCCACCTTCCATCTATTTAGTCATGGCAGTCAGTCTTTAGTATTGTATTTTTTGATAGAGCAACATCTCTGGAAAAGAAAAGTATAAATTTAAGATCCAGTCCTCTCTTCATGCCAGTTTAAAAATGTAGGTTAAATAAAAACTTGAGTTTTCACACAGTGTAAAATGAGTCCTTTTTCCTGAAAATGGGTAGGTTTTAAAATGTGGAAAAGCATAGAAGCTTAATTGGTAGAGTTTTAATAACAGGCAATTGAATTGGAGTTAATTATTAATCAGAATTAGTTGTGGGGTGGCTACCATTATTTCTGCATTTGTGATATGAGCTGTACTTCCAGGTTCTAGGAAAGATGTGGGTTTTGTGGATGATTTATAGGATTAAAACAACTGAAACAAAACCATATGATCTCTAGTAAATATTGCACTTAGACTCTGTTGCTGGATGATTTTACATTTATTTGCTGCTAAATATTTTTCAACTTTTATTTTTTAAAATTTAGATTATGATGGCTTAGAAAAATTTATATCTGGTATACTGCTAAATTCATATAAGCTGCATTATATTTTTTAGGTTTTCTGATATGTGCTACATTACTGTGATAGATGAATTTCTGATACCGTTGCTGTAGATATACAGAGAAAAATTAAACTTTACTTTCCACGTGCATTTGCAAGTAAAACAAAAAAAAAATTCCATCTTGAGTGCAAATATTTCTTTCTTACCTGAGAATGTCTCCCTGAAGCCTGATTTATCACAATGCTTCCTTCCCACTTGCATCTATGTAACTACACTAAATTCAAACTCAGTTTTGGCAAGATAAGCTGAATTAATGCAACAATGAACCATACATGTATCAATATTCACTTGTGGAGGATTTTTTAAGTTATAAATAAATATGATTTTAAAAACTGTGGCAATGCAGTTCTCTCTTGTATTTTAGACTTAAAAGACAACTCCATTATCTCCATTGTGTACTAGCACAAGTGTTTAGCTATAACCATTTGATTACTGAAATAGAAAAATGTAAAGCTAGTCGAGACTGATTAATCCAAAATTGATACTATCCTATAACATTGTCCTGTAGTGCCGTGTTCCTTCTCATAGAAATGCAAGCTCTGCAAGCCTAAAAATAGTCGTCTTTTAGACAAGTATAGAAAGCCAAGATACATGAGTAAAGAATGCAGAATTGTGTCCAGGACAGGATATTTATAGC